GGTAGTGTAGCCTCTGAAGTAGTGCCAAAATCATAGCCACTACCCTTCCAGCATATCAGCGGCGTGTGCTCCGAACTGAAAAACCCGCGAATAGGCTTTACATAGATCAGGATTTTGTCATTGGAATATTTCACTACACCATGCTCCAGGTATTGCTTTTGGTAGTTGGCTTCGTCGGGCAAATCGAGGTGCAGCTCCTTAAATGCTGACGAAGCAGGTTGCAAAGTTCTAGTTGTACCAAACCACAAAATATGCGCCACACTCAGCAGCAACAAGCCATGAAGCAACCACTGTAAAGGACTGATTATTAGGGCGTTATCGGAGTTTTGTTGCGCAACTTCCGGCAGTGGCACACCTTTGCGCCTATACAACCACCGCACCAAAAAATACGTGGGTAGCAAAACATAAATCGCCAAGCCGACCAAACCGGCGGCATCGTGCATGGGGTTGCCGGGCATCCAATTCATGATGACCAACAGTAAAATACGAAGCAAATTGTAGCCGATATTTAGTGCCACCACACTTGGCAAGATTATAAAAAGTAAATAGCCAGAGAAGATTTTCGTGCGCGTGTGTCGCTCGTATAGCGCAGTGAGTGCCACGGCAAATAACAGCGAGATCTGCACCATATACAGCCCCATACACGCCGCATCCACGCTATAAGATTGCTGATACAAGATGATCATATTGCCGGCAGAGGAAGCATCCTGACCAACAAGTTGTAGGACTTTGGCTGCCCACTCGCTTAGTTGCAACCGGATAGGAAAGCTGAATACACTCACCCAATTTTGCACCAAAGCCGACATCAGCACGATGACAAATATGGGATATGGAGCTATCGCGCCCTTCCATTGCACCCAAAAAGCGTAGAAAACAAAGCAAACCGCGAAAAAATGCAAGGTCCTAGCCGGCAAAAAATAGCCTGCCACACTTACCGCCAATGCCAAAGCAATCCAAAGCAAGGCGCTGAGTCGCTGTGTCGCTCTTGGCAGCGTAACCAAAGGCAACAACATCAACCCGCAATAAAAACTTGCATCCGGCACCAGATAGCCCTCGAATACCCAATAAGCAACAATAGCTATCAAGGGCATCAGTATCACCCAAGGCAACCATCTAGGCGCGGATGCTAAGTCTCTAGGTTTTAACTTTAACAAATGAATCATTACGCGCGGATTTTGCGATGTGCAAAGAACAAAGCCAACAGCATCGTGAGTATAAGTGCCCACTCATGCGGCTCCGGCACCGCTCCCGAACTTTGCATGGAAGCGTTTCCAAGGGCATCCGGGTTTCTTTTGATGCCAAAACGGTCGTAATCTGCTTGCGACTCCAACACGATCAAGCTCGAAACCGGCGACACCACATTGGCTTCAGCAGCCTTCTCCACCAAAGGCTCGGGTTCATATTGCTTGGTGAGGTAATTGCCACTTATGCTCCGCATAATTTGATTGTAGGCGTACAAGCGCAAGAAATTGTCGTTAGACTTGGGCAGTGCGGCACCTCCCGCTGTAGTTTCTTCGGTCACCATGATATTTGCTCCGGGTATGACTACTTGCGTATCGCTTTCTTGTAGCGCAGGATATTTTTGTTCGGCGACCCTTGTGGTCACTTCAGCTAATGTGGAGTTATAAGTCTGCAAGCAACGCAACTCACTCAAAGTGCGCAGATAAATATCTTTTTCAGTGCCCAAAATCCAAACTTTCACCGGAGCGGAGACGGATAATTTTTCGTTCATTTCCTTGCCAAAAGGCGACTCGCTCAACTCTTTCACCGTTGGTGTACTTCCGGCATATTTACTAATCACCAACGCTTTATCGGGCTGAGCTAATGCATGGAAAGGAAACAGCGAAAACTTATTTTTTTGCGCACTTTCCAGTATCATTTTGGCTTTGGGGGCGGTTATCTCAACAAATTTAGAGGAATTTACGGCGTATCGAACGGGCGTACTTTTGGCAGCAGCAAGTATCTCTTCCACTTGATTGTACGTCCACGCGCTGTTCAAATCCAAGTAAATTGCCTCCGGTTCAAAATGCTCCAAGCGTGTTTCCAAAGCAGCTGAACGATAGGTTTTCCCACCAAAAGCGAAGGTGTTTGGTTCAAATGCCGTCTTTTTAAGGTTGAATGTCCAATTTTGGAAATACTTCTTGGTAGCCTTATAATTGCCCTCGCTGTCCATCACATATTGCGTCAAATTGTCTTCAAAATCGGTATGCTTAGCAGTAATGACCTTTATATTTTCCATACAGCGCACAGGAGGACCTTGCAGAGAAATATTTTGGTAAATCAGCGACTGGGCATCGTCTTTTAGCGGGGCAGTCACTCCTATTTTAAACATTCTGTCTTCCTCACTCGTGCACGGGAATACGCGCACCGTCACGCAATTGCCTTCCTGCCAATGCACTATGCTCGGGTCGCGGCGCTCACGCCCCACGATGGTCGTATAAGCTGAATCCGCCCGACTTTTGCCCGCCAAAATTGCAGTTTCCTCCAAGCCGTTTATCCACAACGAAAGCGACGTCACTACCCCACCCTCCGGCAAGTAAAAAGTATAAAGTGCCTCTTGTTGACTCCTGAATCTGCTCCTGTCTTCATTGCGGATGGTCAATATTTTTTCTGAATAGGATACCCTTTGCGGCGCATCTAAAAACACGGTGGTATGCATGGATTGCGTATGCAAATCGCGCCCGGTCCATAACTTTTCTTGCAATTCGTGGCGACCATCATACAAGCAGCGTAGCATTTTTTCGCGGTTTGCCCAACTCACTCCACGGGTGGGCATAAATGTGCTCGCAAGCATCACCAAAGGGTCGTGCACACGTGTCACGCCATTGTTCATGTCCGGTGTAAAACTAAAAAACTCGTCTTTCACCTGATAATAGGCGTCTGATTTGAGCACACGTTCCGTCACCCAATCCTTGGGCAGCATTTGCGCCATCGCCACCCAATGCGGCAGCACCTGAGTGCCCGACTCCAACTGTTTCTCTAGGTAAGTCGCTTCCAGACGACTCGTACGCTGCTGCCAAGCCACCAAAAACGCGCCCACCAACATAATTGGCGCTATCGCCCCAACCAAAACCGCCCATTTGCAGCCGGCGGTGGCTACTTCCTTGTCTTTTTTCAACTCCAAATAAAGCACACGCGCTATCGCTATACAAAATATCAAAGGCACAAAACTATGAAACGACAAACCGAAAAACAGGAGCGCAGGGATGCTTATTGGATAGAGGTTGGATAAATATATCGCAAAATATAGAAAAAGCACACCCGACCATGCCATCGCCGCCAACCAGACATTTCTTACCCATGGTGCCATGATATCGCGCCAAGCATAGCCAATAGCCACACTGCAAGATAACACCAGATGCACCGCCAGCCAAGGTGCTGAAGGCTGAAAAACGGTCATATTTCTATTCAAAGCGAAGCAACTCACCAACCAGATACTCATGTACACAAAAAAAGTATCGAATCGCTTATTGCGCGGCGCACCGAACCACCGCAGATGCGAGTTGGTGATCAAAATGACCATGTAAGCAAAGACAAAAACATAATTCAATCCAAAAAATTCCGCCATGCCATTGTTCGCTTGCCGAAATGCCTCCGGTGTAAAATTGTACAACAATAGTGAAATACCCAAAATAATTATGCCGGATACCCATACCATGTCCTGAAATGGCTGTTTCCAATGCTTTGCAGCTTGTTGCTCTAGGTTTGCATCCAATTGAACTGATTCGTGTGCCATAAAAGTAGTTTTTTTAGTGAATAGTAGTAATAAAGTTACTTATAGCTTAACGTTTCAAGGTTTTCGAATGCCGCTTTTCCTTTTCAACGTAAGGCAAGGCAAAGATAATGCAAATTACTTTGTATTTCAAAGTGCTTTTATAAATATTTTTCATAGAAATGATTTTTCTTGAAATGCGTGTGGTTTCCCGCAGAAATACGCAGAAATAGCTGCACGCTGAAATACGCAGAACTCTTTTAACTCCTTTAACTCTTTGTGAATTTCCCGCAGAAATACGCAGAAACAGCTGCACGCTGAAATGCGCAGAACTCTTTTAACTCTTTGTGAATTTCCCGCAGAAATCAAGTTTGCCACCACCCCAAAATTGTCAATTATCAATTTTCCATTGTCAATTATTTTGGCAGCCGCCCAAAACCGCCTTTTACTTTATAGCGGAGCTTAGTGCGAGTAGTAGGCGGTTTGGTCGCCGGGCTATCCGCTGCAATAGCTATTAAAATCGCCTCTTGGTTGTTCGGTGTGATTTTGCATCCGTTCATGGCGACTTTAATAGCTATTTCCGCTACTATCCCTGCTGCTCGCGCGTGAGGGATAGTAGCGGATGCCGATAAAAAAACGCCATGAACGACTACAAAAGGCCCGCTACAAGCCTAAAAGGCGTTTTTTTATTGGCAGCAGCGGATAGCCCGACCGCTCAAAGCCCCGCCGTAAACACTAAGCTACCCTCCATACCTAAAGGGCTGTGAGCGGGCACGCCATTCATTGAGTGATGAACGATGAGTGATGAAATTTGTGCAATTTGTGGCGAAATTAAACACATAGGCACATAGAGCACATTGTTTTTTTGAGCAAAGTGTCACGCTTAAGTTTAGTATGAAGAAAAAATAATCGGTTCTTTGACAATTTTTGGGATTCATTAATTTAGTTCTTTACGATTTTTGTGGTATCTATGCACTATGGAAACAAGTATGTATCAAATATTATTAAATATACCCAACCTTATCATCAATAATGTTGAGATTGAAGATAAAACAATTCGTTTTTATTGCGAGACTACGTCTATTATTGGAGTTTGCCCTGTGTGTCAAAATGAGACAAAAATTGTTCATCAATATAGCCATCATAGGGTAAGAGATTTAAATATCTCAGGCAGAGAGGTTTATTTAGAAATTAAGGTTCGCCAATTTGAGTGCTCCTGCGGTCGACATTTTAATGAGACATTGGAATTTGTTGAGCCGAACAAGAGCTATACAAAGCGTCAGGCGAAATGGGTATTTGAATTAAGTGCCAAGCAGCCATTATCGGAAGTAGGCTCATTGACAAATATGAATACGAAAACAGTTGAACGTATTTTTTATGACCATGCTTCCATCAATGCTACTGGGCGTTATGAAGGGGTTGAGAAGCTAGGGATTGATGAAATTTCTTTTCGCAAAGGCAAAAAGGACTATTTATGTGTGCTAACTGATTTAGATACAGGTCGGACAATTGATATACTTAGAAGTCGAAAAAAGGACGATCTTATTGCGCATTTCAAGGGTATTGCCTTAGAAGACGGTCAATTATTTACTAAAAAAGTCAAGGTAATATGTTGTGACTTTTGGGGACCATTCATTGATATTGCCAATAACTATTTTCCAAATGCTACTTTGGTGGGCGATAGGTTTCATTGGACAACTTACCTTAATAAGGTGTTGGATAAAATTAGAAAAGAACTTAGAAAAGAATTTCCCAAAGAGGAGGCATACAAAAATATTAAATGGTTACTCTTCAAGAAAAGTCACAAAATCACAGCAGATGACAAACAAAAACTGGAAACCGCTTTTACTTTGTCACCTCAATTACAAGAACTATACGAATTAGCAAAAACTTTTACAGGCATTTTTGACTGCTCATTTGATTATGAATTTGGATGTAAACAGGTAACGGAATGGATCAATTATGCAGAACTTGTAAATCAAAAACACCTAAATGAATTTACAGATTTCTTAAAAAGAAACCTTAATCCAATTCTAAATTACTTCAAACAACCTGTGTCAAATGCTGCAACGGAAGGAAATAACAACTTGCTTAGAACAATCAAAAGATTCACCTACAACATGACAAATTTTGAACACTTTGTAGCTAGGTGTTTTGCTTATAATTAGCGAATCCCAAAAATTGTCAAAGAACCTCTTTTTTTTTCCTAATGAATGACCAAAATTCATCTATCTATACCCGTTCCAAATGCATATCCTGTTGCATATACTCGCTAAAAGCACTTACCTGCTCCGATGCCAGTAATATCCAACTACGTACGCTTTCGCTTGTTACTCCAGTTTGACGACACACCGCATTTTGACCCAGCCCAGACGTTCTATTACTTTTTTCTATCGGTGTACTAAGCACTCTGTGAAATAAGTTTTTTAACGCAAATATACATCATATTTTATTCGCATAACACCATAAATAAATTTTTGGGTAAATAGTAGCATGTCGCAGCAGCAGGGATAGTAGCGAAAATAGCCTTTGTGTGCCTTTTTTCTAAAATTACCAATAAAAACCAAGCCGCTGAACAGCAACCTCTATACCCGAATAGCCCAAACACAGGGACAAAAAGGCACACAAGGGCTATTGCAGCGGATAGCCCGGCGACTCAAAAAACTGCCGATTCTACGCTCTAAGCGTTTCCGATAATATATAATGGCAGTTTTTTTGAGGCGGCTGCCATAATAATTATGAGTTATGAACGATGAGATATGAATAATGAGATTTGAAATATTAGACCTTCCTTGGATTGAAGAATAAACAATGAACAATTATCAGGGGTAAATGAATAAAATTATCTTTTCTTAAAAAAAACTAAGACCAACCTTTGCAAAAACTCCATGTTTACGCTTACATTTATGCCTCTTTTCAAAGCATTTATTTCTTTGTAAAATACTTTATGGAAAATACCATTTCAAAATCAAAAGAACTGTATGACCGCCGCAAACAACTAGTCCCTAATGCCTTGGGTATTTTTAACCCCTCTACGGCTGTGCGCGCAAAAGGTGCCACGATATGGAATGCCGATGGAAGAGAAATGATTGACTTCGCAGGGGGCATCGGGGTGATGAATGCAGGGCATTGTCCGGAGCCGGTGGTGCGCGCTATTCAGGAGCAGGCGGCTCGGCTGATCCACTCGAGTTTCAATGTTTCGCTGACGGAATCGTACTTGGATCTGGCTGAAAAGCTGGTGGAGTTGCTCCCGCATGGCGAGGCTACAAAGGTGATGCTGACCAATAGCGGTGCCGAAGCGGTAGAAAATGCGATTAAAATAGCGCGTATGGCTACAGGAAGACAGGGTATTCTTTGTTTTACTGGCGCATTTCATGGCAGAACAATGATGTCGATGACGCTAACGGCAAAGACGAAAAATAAGACTTCGTGTGGACCTTTCGCACCGGAGGTGTATAGGCTGGAGTTTCCGTATCCATACCGCTATGGCGCGGGACTGAGCGATGAGGCTTATATAGAGCAACAGGTGAGGCGTCTGAAGGATTTTTTCTACTATCAGGCAGGGGCTGAACATATCGCAGCGGTAATTGTGGAGTTAGTGCAGGGCGAGGGCGGTTTTACGGTGATGCCGCCGGCTTACCTGAAGGCGCTTCGCGATACTTGCAATGAGCACGGTATTTTGCTGATTTTCGATGAGGTGCAGTCGGGCTTTGGTCGCACGGGCGAGTGGTCGGCTTTTGCGCATTATGGCATCGTGCCGGACTTATCCACTTGGGCAAAAAGTATGGGCGGCGGTATGCCGATAGGGGCTGTGATGGGCAAAGCACATATCATGGATGCGGCGCTGCCGGGCACTATAGGCGGTACTTATGGCGGCAATCCGGTGTGTTGCGCGGCTGCTCTCGCCAATATACAATATATGGAGGCGATAGACATCAATGCGCATGGTCGTAGGGTGGGCAAGATTGTGCGCCGCCGTATGGAGGCTATGCAAGCCAAATGCCCTGCCATCGGCAATGTGCGGGGGCTGGGCGCTATGCTCGCTTTTGAATTGGTGAAAAATAATGACCCGTGGCAACCCGATGCCGAACTCGCCACTAAACTGGTGGCAGCCTGCGAGAAAAAAGGGCTCATCATCATCAGCGCCGGCACTTTTGGCAATTGTATCCGGGTGCTGAGTCCGCTGGTGATTGAGGATGAACTTTTGGAGCGCGGAATGGATATTTTGGAGGAGACTTTGCTGGAGCTGGGTTGAGATCCGAACGCGGATGAAACGGGTTAGGCGGATTTGCCACGGATTCTTTTTTCTTCGCTTCGCTTAGAAAAAAACGGATTTTATTCGGATTTTTTCTTTTTGTTTGCTTCGCAAACGGCAAAATGGATTAGAACGGATTTTTTTTGTTTGCTTCGCAAACTTTCAAGTAGCAACGAATCAAAAAATCTGCATAATCTGCGTGCAGCTAAATCTGCAAAATCTGCGGGAAACGACACGCAAAGTGCCTCCAGCTTAAGTGTGCTAATATGGTAAAAATCCACAAAGAGTTAAAAGAGTCAACATGCATCTAAGGTGTGCTTAAGTGCGCTTATGTGGTAAAAAAGTCGACACCCAATGCAGCTAGCTTAAGTGTGCTTAAGTGCGCTTATGTGGCAAAAAAAATACACGCAAAGTGCCAACAAGCAGCATTAAAGATTAAAAATAAAAGCTATACAAATATAAAAACATGGCATACAAGCAATACATAAACGGAGTCTGGTGCGATGCCTTGAACCACAACACCTGGGAGGTACTCAATCCCGCTACCGAAGAGGTGGTCGCCACAGTGCCCTATGGCAATGACGACGATGCGCGCATGGCTATCGAAGCAGCGCACCAAGCCTTTCCGGCATGGAGCAAGACCAACGCATTCCAACGGGCAAGTATGCTCAAAAATGTGGCAGCGCGCATCCGCCAAAATGCTTCTGATTTCGCGCGTATCACTACGCAAGAAAGCGGCAAACCATTGATGGAAGCCAAAGGCGAGTGGATGGTGGCTGCCGACCTTTTCGAGTGGTTCGCCGAAGAAGCCAAGCGCACTTATGGCACGGTGATTCCTACCAGTCGCAACAACAAGCGGAGCTATGTCATCTGGCAGCCGGTGGGCGTGGTGGGCATCATCACAGCGTGGAACTTCCCGGTGTGGAACCTCGCCCGTGCTTGGGGAGCATCGTTGGCGGCGGGTTGTACCATCGTGGCTAAGCCTTCCGAATACACGCCTTTGACGGCTATGCTCCTGACGGAAATATTTGATAGTGAGGGATTTCCGCCCGGCGTGGTCAATCTAGTGAGTGCTGAAGCTCCGTCCGTCGGCGATGCGCTGATGGATGCCGAGGCGGTGCGCAAAGTGCATTTTGTAGGCAGCACGCGGGTCGGAAAAATACTCATGGATAAGGCATCGAAGGTGAATACCAAGCTTTCGCTCGAGCTAGGTGGCAATGCGCCGGTGTTGATATTTCCCGATATGAATGTGGAGCAAATAGCGGCATCGGCGGTGGGTGCCAAATTCCGCAATTGCGGACAGGTGTGCGTATCGCCACAGCGTTTTTTGGTGCATCAGGATATTTACCATGCGTTTTGCGAGGCTGCTGCTGGTTTGGTGGCTCAATACAAGGCGGGCAACGGTCTTGATACAGGCACGCAGGTGGGTCCGCTCATCAATCGTAAGCAACAAGAGCACGTAGCGGCACTGGTGGAGACCAGCGTAAGCGGTGGCGCTAAGGTGCTTGCAGGCGGCAATATTCCGTATCCGAAAGGTTATTTCTATAGCCCTACACTCTTGAAGGAGGTGGAAGTGACTTCGCCGGTGTTCACTAAGGAGGCATTCGGTCCTTTGTTGCCGGTTACGCCTTTCCGCAATTTCGAGGAAGCTATCACCCTTGCCAATGCTACGGAATTTGGCCTGGCGTCGTACATTTGGACGAAGGATCTCAATACAGCGCTCCTCGCTAGCGAAGCCTTGGAGTTTGGGATTGTGGGCATCAATGAGTGGACGCCGCATGGCACAGAGGTGCCTTTCGGTGGCTGGAAACAAAGCGGTCAGGGTAGCGAATTGGGTCATGATGGCATTTTTGAGTATATGGAGAAAAAACTTGTTAGCATTGGCGTTAATTGACAATTGACAGCATGAAAAAAATTATTATTAGAAAGTTCAGTAATGTCATTGACTTAACGAAAACCATGAGCGTGTCATGCTGAAAGCATCTGAAACAATTGTTGCATTTCCTATGGAAATGAGTAGTTCAGATGCTTTCAGCATGACAGAACACAGCGGTTTTTCGTTCCGAAAAACCTTAAGTCAATGACATTGACCTCTTGGGTAGAAATATTTTTTTTCACAAGACCCTGAAAATGAACGACTTAAAATCATTGTCAATTATCCATTGTCAATTGTCAATTAATATGGCGTGCCCCAAAAACAGCCCAAAAAGTTATTGCATAGCTTAGTCATTTGGGAAGGGCTGTTTTGGGTCGGGCTATCCGTTGCAATAGCCATAAAAAAGTGCCTTTGGGTTTTGTGGGTAGTTTTTACAGCACATCTTGGCACTTTTTTATGGCTATTTCCACTACTATCCCTCACGCAAAATGTCATTGAATTAAGGGGTTTTACCCTAAAATCAGTGATATTATGAACAAGGGATTTTACCCACCCCACGATTTTAATCGTGGGTGGGGATTCTATCTCCAGCCCTCGAATTTATTCGAGGCTTGCCGCCCAAAGAGGTTAAAAAATTGAAAATTGCTAGCAATTTTCAATTTTTTAACCTCTTTGGGCGATTACAACATGAATAAATTCATGTTTTTGAGTCTAACACTGCCCACCCACGATTAAAATCGTGGGATGGTGTAACAATATCAAATTGACGATAATCCGCTTTTCTCAAGCAAAGCGCCGAAAAAAAAATCCGTGCAAAATCCGCTTTTTTTCAAGCGAAGCGCCAAAAAAAAAAAAATCCGTACAAAATCCGTTTTTTTCTGAGCGAAGCGAAGAAAAAAGAAAATCCGTACAAAATCCGTTTTTTTCAAGCGAAGCGCCAAAAAAAAAATCCGTGGCAAATCCGTCTAACCCGTTTCATCCGCGTTCGGATCTCATGCAACTAAGAACATCAATTAAGAAACATGGAAAATTTTGGAATCTGGTCTCTAGTCCCTCCTCTTGTGGTCGTCATCATGGCCATCTGGACCAGACGTTCTATGGAGCCATTGCTATTGGGTTGTATAGTAGGTTATTTGATGATTGACTGGCGCGCATTCCCCGATAACATCATCAAGTCATTGATAAAAACCATGCAGGACGAGACCCTCGTATGGGTAATCTTGGTGTGTGGATTGTATGGTGCGCTTATCCATTTGATGGTACAATCAGGTGGTGCCTTTGCTTTTGGTCGGTATGTACTGAAGTATGTCAAGACAAGGCGCAGTTCCTTGCTCATGACCTGGGCTATGGGTGTAATCATCTTTATAGACGACTACCTCAATGCCTTAGTTACCGGCACCACTATGCGCAAAATCACCGACCACTTCAACGTACCGCGCGAGACGCTGGCTTATATTGTCGGCTCCACTTCCGCGCCTATTTGCGTGTTAGTGCCCATATCCACATGGTCTATCTATATCGGCAAGCTCATCGAAGATTCCGGCGCTGTGGAGAAAGGGCAAGGTTTTATGGGATTTGTGCAGACCATTCCGTACAATTTCTATGCATGGTTTGCCATCCTGATGGTCATAGCGTTTATATTCAACCTGGTCCCCATTTTTGGTGGCATGAAGCGCGCCCAACAGCGCGTAGATGAGACCGGATTACTTTCACCGCCCGGCTCTGAGGCCTTCAGCCAGACCAACGAAATACAAGTCGATGTAGAAAAATCCAAGCCCATCTATTTTTTCCTGCCCTTAGTCGTACTCATCGGCGCTACCATATTTTTCGATATAGATGCATTGAAAGGGGTCATTGCGGCCGTCACCTTTACCATTGGTTATTATTGGTTCTTAAATATAATGCCCTACGATGCGCTGTTCGAAAGTATCTTCGAAGGCTTCAAGAGTATGTTATTTGCGCTTGCGATCCTCGTAGTTTCATACGTATTGAAGAACTTAGGCGACGAGATGGGTATGACCCAATACATTATAGAAAGCATGAAAGGTACCGTTACCAAAGAATACTTGCCCGTTATTGTGTTCAGCTCGCTAGGGTTGATAGCCTTTGCTACAGGTTCATCGTGGGGAATCTATGCCATAGCGATACCGATGGTAGTGCCGGTAGCTGCCGCACTTGGTGCCAATGTGTGGGTGGTACTTGGCGCAGTCATCGGTGCGGGTACGCTAGGAGCTCACGCCTGCTTCTATTCCGATGCTGCTATGCTTACAGCCACCGGCACGGAATGCAACAACATAGATCATGCGCTTACGCAATTACCTTATGCCATGATAGCTGCAGGGTTGGCGGTGATTTGTTATCTATTGGTTGGATTTTTAGGATAAATCACGAAAAATGAATTTTCAATTTGCTAAAAATGTATAAAAAAGTATTAAAAAACGGCTTCATCATACAAAATACAGAAGCGAAACACGCTCTGGGATTGGAGGCACTACAACAGAAAGTATTTCCGACCCTCTCACCGGATGAGTTGATGGGAGCAGCGCACTACTTGGAGCATATCCGCATATTTCCCGAAGGACAGTTTGTGATTCTGGATGGCGATAAAGTAATTGGTATGAGTACTACTATGCGCTACCATTTGTCATTGGAGCCACACACTTTCCTAGAGATATCCGGTAACCTATGGATGACCACCCACGAACCCGAAAGTGATTGGCTCTACGGTCTTGACGTAGGCATCGACCCGGATTATCGAGGCATGGGCTTGGCTAGAGAACTCTACCGCGCACGTCAAAAACTATGTCAGCGCCTAGGGCTGAAAGGTCAAATCACCGTCGGCATGATGAACGGCTACGCAGCTATGAGCGACCAACTCACCACAGACGAGTATTACGACAAACTAAAATCCGGAGAAATAAACGACCCCACCGTATCTATGCAGCAACGCATGGGATTCGAGATAAAGGGGCTCATCCACGATTATCTCGACGACCCGCAATGTGGGCATTGTGGGGTGTTGTTGACCGTAGACTCAGAAGTGGAGATATGAGTGGAACGAGGAGTGATGAACGATGAACGATGAACGATGAAAACAGTACCGTTCTGCGGATTTCTGCGTGCAGCTATTTCTGCGTATATCTGCGGGAAATCACACGCAAAGTGCCTCCAGATTCGTGAAAATTCGTGCAATTCGTGGCAAAAATTGAGCGAAGCGAACCCCAGTTGTAAAAAATCGTGTATTAGTGGCAATTAAAATTTAAAATCAATAATTATGAAAAATATTCAACTCAACACTCCCCTACCGGGACCCAAAAGCGCAGAAATACTAGCGCGAAGAGCAGCAGCCATGCCTACAGGCTTAGCCAAATCCACAGAAGTAGTAGTAGCCTCCGCCAAAGGAGCACTAGTATATGACGTAGATGGCAATACCCTCATAGACATGGCAGGCGGCATTGGTGTACTCAACGCAGGACACCGCCCCACCACCGTAGTCAATGCCATCAAAAAGCAATTGGACAAAGTCATACACTCGTGCACACTCGTCACCACCAACGAGCCAACCGTAGAACTTTGCGAAATGCTCAACAAAGTAACACCCGGCGATTTCCCTAAGAAGACGCTGCTCGCCAACTCAGGCGCAGAAGCCGTAGAAAACGCCGTAAACATCGCTAAATATTATACCAAACGACCAGCTATCATCGTATTTGAAGGAGGCTACCACGGCCGTACCCTGCTTACCATGAGTATGACCAGCAAGTACGGTCTCTTCAAAAAAGGTTATGGTGCCACGGTATCTGATATTTTCAGACTACCCGCGCCCAATATGTTTCGCCCTTTCAAAGGCATGAGCAAAGCACAATACCTCCAACACTGCTTAGATCAACTTGACCATGCATTAATAGCCCAAGTGGATCCATCGGCTATTGCTGCCATCGTCATCGAACCGGTGCAAGGTGAAGCCGGTTTTGTGCCCATCCCAGCTGAATTCCTACAAAAAATACGCTCACTTTGCACCCAACATGGTATCGTGATGATTGCCGACGAAATACAAAGTGGCTTCGGGCGCACCGGCAAACTATTCGCCATTGAGCATAGCGGCGTTGCACCTGACATCATCACCATGGCGAAGTCTATCGCTTCAGGTATGCCCATCAGCGCCGTGACCGGTCGCGCGGAAATCATGGATACCCTGCACTTAGGAGCAGTTGGAGGTACGTATGGAGGCAACCCTGTAGCATGTGCCGCAGCCATCGAGACCATCAAAATCCTTACCGATCCGGCTTTTGTGAAACATGCCGACCAAATCGGAGAAATCATGCGCAAGACCCTCGAAAGCTGGAAGCGTAAATACTCCCTCGTTGGCGATGTGCGCGGAATTGGTGGTATGCGCATCGTAGAATTTGTGAAAGAGCGCGACAACAATACGCCCGACCCCGACCTGACACTTGAAATCATCCGCGATGCGGTATCTAAAGGGCTGATTCTCATCAGAGCAGGGCTTTTCTCCAATTGCATCCGATTGTTGCCGCCATTTGTCATCACCACAGGTCAGTTGAAAGAAGCGCTTGAAGTTTTGGAAGGTGCTATCGCCCGCGCGCATACCAAAAGAGGCTTGTAAACTACAAGAATAGCACTTATGCGCCACAAAATACTGTACAACGGTAACATCCACCACCACGCACCCGACAATGCGCTCGTCATGCACGAGGGTAAAATCATTGCCATAGCCCCACTCCACCAGCTCAATGCCTCCGCCTTCCCCAATGCCCAATGGATAGACCTGCAAGGCAAAACCCTGATGCCCGGTTTCTTCGATGCCCATATACACATCTGGAAAGTGGGCGACCTGCTCACCTTCAACCTCGACCTGCGTGGTGTGGCGAGCATCGAAGAAATTCAGGATAAATTGCTGGATTTTTCAAGGCAAAACCCACACCTGCAATGGGTACGCGCAAGAGGCTACAACGAAGCGCAAATGAAAGAAGGTCGTCTGCCCACCCGCCACGATATTGATAAAGTGGTGCCAGATAGACCCGTTTTCTTGCAACGTACCTGCGCCCACATTGCAGTTGTCAACTCCAAAGCCTTAGAAGTCTGCCACATTACCCCAAAAACGCCTGTCCCTTTCGGTGGTGAAATACGACAAGACCCCAACGGCGAGCTCAATGGCATCCTCTGTGAAACGGCGCTCGGACTCGCCATGCACCATTTTCCGCAGGTCTCGAAGGCTGATTACGAAACCATGGTACTAGCCGCCTGCCACGAGCTCCTCAAACACGGCGTCACAGCTGCCACCGACCCGGCTGTGATGCCCGATTTGTTGGAAGTTTACAAAGAAATGGACGCTGCGGGTAAGCTTCCCATCCGCGTTCATGCCGTGCCCATCGTACTTCCCGACGGTGGCGCTGAGCCATTGCCCATCCCTGCGCTATATGAGTCAGATAAACTAGTTATCAATACCGTCAAATTTTTCTCGGACGGCGGACTTAGCGGAAAAACGGCAGCCTTGAGTCGCCCCTACAAAAATTCCACGGAAAAAGGCATCCTTCGGCTCGACCAAGAGCAGTTTTTCCGGCTTGCCCTCGAGGCGCAAGAAAAAGGCTTCCGTATAGCCACCCACGCCATTGGCGACGAAGCTATCTCCATGGTTATCAACACGTACGAGCGGCTATACCAGCACACACCCGATGCGCATCGCCATCGCATCGAGCACTTGGGGCTGCCTACGCCAACCCACCTTCAGCGCATTGCAGATATGGGCGTGCATGCAGTTACTCAACCCATTTTCCTCAAGGAATTGGGCAGAAATTTCCGCCAATCGCTCGATGACAACTTCCTTCGCGATTGCTACTCCTTCCGCTCCATGCTCAATCATGGCATCAATGTGGCTTTTTCCACCGATGCGCCTGTCGTAAAAGATGTGCGTCCGTGGGCTTGCATCGCCGCTGCCATACACCGCTTGGATGCCGATGGCACAGTCATTACGCCCGAAGAGACTATCACCTTGGAGGAATCCATCCATTGTTACACGCTGGCAAGCGCACTCGCCAATGGTGTCGAACATAAAACTGGCAGTATTGAGGTGGGGAAAAATGCGGATTTGATTCTTTTAGAGCAGTCGCCGGTTGGGCTTTCGACGCAGGAGTTGGAGAATCTTAGGGTGGAGGTATTGTAATTCTAGTCATTAATCACTACCTTTTCAATAACCGCCGGCTTCAGCCGGTGGATTTGGACGACCGTACTTTTTCGGGGTTTCAACCCCTTCGCCCAAACTGCTAAAATGGAGTTAAAACCTAGGCTGTGCAAAATAGCCCTTAATTATGAAGCGATATTTTAGTATCAAATCTAATTTGCTTGGCCTTTCCATTTGCGCGTGATTGGACAACGGATGAAACGGATTTAACGGGTTAGAACGGATTTTCCTTTGCTTCGCAAAGGGATAAAAACTGATTTTCTCTTTGTGTAAAAAGGATTTTAACGGATATTTCGCTAACGCGAAATAAACGGATTAGAACGGATTTTTCTCCATTTTTGCTTATACTTTCTGCTTCACGAATTTATAGGCCTGTGAAAATATCAATTTTCCATTGTCAATTATCAATTGTCAATTAATCATGGCACCCGCCTCCATAAAAAATGCCCTTTGGCTGCCTACTGAATCAAGGCTGTCGAAAGGGCATTTTTCATGGAGGCGCCGGGCTATCCGCTGCTGCCGATAAAAAATGCCCTTGAGCGGAGTAACGTAGCTTGGTGGTACGGCAAGGCATTTTTTATCGGCATCCGCTTCTATCCCTGGTGCGGTGTTTCAGCTTCTGCTGATTGAGTTTCTGAATTTTTAAAAAATGCTCTGAAAGAAGTTGGAACTAATACTCTTTCATCTCGCAAATTTTCTATTACATAAAAGTTAGCAGTATTCTTTGTAATATCATAATTAAATAGTCTGTAAATGAAATAATCTCCATAGTGAATATCAGAAAAAGAAAGCTCATTGCTAGTAATATCAAATGGCATATTTTCACCTCCTTGAGTAGTTTTCACCTCTATGAACTTAGGATTACCATTTTCAAAAAAAGAAAGTACATCATAACCTTCACCATCTTTTACTTTTCTCACTTTTTCTGCCAATTCAAATAAACCGGCCTCCATCAGTACATTTTTCTCAAAAGTTATAACTAAATCTTCACCCAATGACCCTAATTCCATTTTAAATGTTTGCTCATTTTCATAATCACGTTCAACACCTCTGAAACTCGGGGTCAGCTTTTCCTTATAATATGTTCCATTTTCAGGCTTTTTTTGCTTGATTAATGAAATAGTCTCTTTATTTCTTTTATCAATAAATAGATGTTTCATATAGCTTGGTTCAAATTCTTCGTAAACATCAAGAGTACCTCTTTGAAATTTTACCAAAAACTCATTTTTATTAGCTATTTTATACTCCAACATCCCAGCCGCAGAAAGCAAATCAAATTGACGCTTAAGAGTCCTTAAAGTTCCAGCCCTAATATCAAAATTTTCTTTCGTATATTGGAATTTAACCCCATCAAAAGTATATTCAATTCCGTTTCTAATTTGGGGTTCAGTAAAAACAAAATGAAAAAGAGCTTTTAGGTGAGCGTAGGTAGTTTCAGTTACACTACGAATTAATTTGTAACTTAACGTATCTTTATTTGCTCGTATTCTTTGATGATAATCATTCGTATAATTAAGAAATCCATCCCTAGCTCCATATGAGCCTAGCCAATGATGAAAAATTAGCTTAGAGTTATCTAAAAGGTTTTCAAACAACTCGGGTAGATCAAAATTGCCTAGCAATTCAAAAGAAATCTCTTGAACATTTAGGGTTGTTTTGAGTGTATTTTCATCAAGAAGCAACAGAAAATCGTCATGAACATAAAGAAAGTACATTAAAACATTATCTTTATTCTCGACAAATAGCCAATATTTTCCTTCAAAACCATCCTTTGAGTTAAAGGATATCGAAAAGATAATATTATTTCTGATTAAAAATTCTTGAGTTGCAAACACATTGCAAAATATGTTTTTTTGCATATTTATACTAGATTTTATCAATTTATTAAAAAACGAAAGTTTCTAGGGAGGATAATAAAACTGAAAATTTAACCAATTTTGCACCATGCAAGGTGGTACACTTTTCGTGGCTATACTGGTACACTTTTCAGTGGCGTTTTACATTTGACAATTAAAATCTATAGATGCCAAAAATTAGCCTAATTTCAAGACAGATTTAAAGTCGCGAATGTTAAGATAACAAATATTTTTTAGGAATAATTAATTCAATTGGAATTGATATAAGAAACTATATTGCCCAAAAGCTGAATTAAGAATCCCAAAATAATTAGGCAGAATCCAATTTTTGACCACTTTGTTGGCTGGAAGTATTTAAGATTTGTAAGAGTACCAATTCGCTCCCCAAAAGCGTCTGCAAACTCTGTTACTTCGCCTTCAGTAGGTTCTCTTGGCATAACGATATCTTTTGAGATTAGGATAAAACCGAGAACATCTATAATTAATCCTACAGAGTTTATTATTTCTGGCTTCATATTACTTAATTAAATTACAAATTTCATACTATATATATTGTTCTTAAAGAATGCAAAGAAAGTTTTCAAACTAGTCCAGTTAGAAAATTCTACTTATTTCAGTTTTTTCAAGAATAACTTTTGTCAAAATAACACTCCGATTGAATCATAACCTTAAAAACAACCTTTCAGCAAAGTTACAACTATATAAACAAATAATGAATATTAAACATTCAGTAATGTCAAACTAAAGACAATATACAGGGGCTATTTGCAAGTTATTCGATTTTGCAAAATCGAATAACTTAGAGGCATTCTATACTTAATTGTAAATCGTAAATCAAATAATCGTACTTTGAAAAGCGTGAGGGATAGCAGCGGAAATAGCTATAAAAAATCGCCTCAACGAAATGCTAAAGCGTTTGTAATCAAACCAATAGGCGATTTTTTATAGCTATTGCAGCGGATAGCCCGACCGCACACCGCCCCAACGAAAACCCAAGCTACGAACGAATGTAAAAGGGCGGTGTGTGGGCACGCCATGAAAAGAAAAATCAATATCGCCAACTACCCAAATCCACGCCCTGAGGTGCCGTTTTCTTCACTTCCTCAGCCCATTTTTTGATGTACATCGAGTGATAGCGCAGACGCGTGATATAGTTGGGAAGCTTTGGGTCGCCATTCCAGCAGTGTTCGGCGCGGTCACCGTAAGCGACTTCGCAATCGCAGGACGGGTTTTTGAGTTGCTTGAGCATATCTTCGGTGGTATATACGGCGTTATTGAGGTAATAATTGTCCATATCGCCCACATAAATGTGCATTTTGCCTTTGAGTTTGTCGCCGAGCTTCGCCCAATCACGCTTGATGATATACGCCAAATCGTAATTGTCGCGCCAATATCGAGCCACAGCAGTATCTATCGCGCCGGAATATTTATCATAGATGCGCTTGGGGTAGCCGTCCACATCCATAGGCGAATACACCGCCTCCCAGATGTCAAATTGGTCGCCGCTGCGGCTGCGCGTGCCTAGGGCAAGTTCGCGGTGATTCATCTCTCGGATGGTGGCACTTACAT